CGCCCAGCTCGATCGCATCCGCGCGATTAAGGAGGAGGATTTGGAAACGCAACACCACGCCTCCGCGCGGGAGGATATGAACACGCAGCGGTTTAAGGACGCGTTGATGATTAAGTGTATGGTGATGCTGCTGCGGAAGGAGATCGGGCAGATCTCGGCGCTCGCCCATCAGTACCACGACGGGAATCGCCAATCCCACCCCAACGCGAACGCCCGGAACTACGTCTAAGCGTTCGCTCGAAACGAGAAGGGAAGAGGCCTATTCATTTTGGAAAGCCGTTCATATAGATACATATATATATATATGCATGTTGGATGGCTGGCATGATTCAGTTTCTGTCTGTGCGTGCAGAGGTAGGCGGGTCTACTGTTCAGTGTGTAAGGCCCCTCCGGCAGGTGCTTTCATTCCTTGGCGGCCATTGCCTCGCGAGGTTCTTTTCCAACATTGGAAAGGTATCAGGCGTAAACCTTGGGAAAAGAAATGTGAACCCGCGCAGGCGAAAAAAAAAAAGAAAAAAAGAGCTGGTATGCTGAATGGGATGTAAGCCCATGGTTAATTCATAAGGAAGCGGAAACGAAGATTGGTTCGTTTGCTCATGGCAGTATTATATTCCCGGAGGGATGATGATGAAAAACTGGTGAGATTTGGGATATAAACATCTTATAGCCTGTTGTGTGTTCATGGCAAACAAGATGGTGGTCTCCTAAAAGCGCATTAAAATTGAAAAACTAAATGAGGGAACAAGTTAATCAGCTTATTTTTCATTATAGTTTAACGAAAGATAAAGCAGTAATAATAGGCGTATATTAAAAAAAAAAATCTACATATCAACGGATCCATGTGAGCATGCAACGATCACTTTTACGTTGGCTCCTTTCCAATAATTGTATGGGGCGTGTTCTTATCCAGATTTAACATCTTTGATTCCTTCTTTGTCATCTCTATTATCCCCCCTTCCCCCACCACCACCACCACTATCCATGCTAAGGTTCTTGGAGCTGTCCACAGGGTGGATTTTTTAAAAAAAAAACATAAAAGCGAGAGAGAATCATATTGAGGAAACCCCAAAAAAAGAAAAAAAAAGAATACAGAGGTCGGCATTCCTCTCATGCGAGCGGCAAACAGTCAGGGCTCGGACGATCCTTTGAAGGATTCCGAACCCGCCGCGGTGGGGAGTGGGGGTCCCAAGGAAGGGGGGGAGATGAACCCCCTCTCCCCCCTCCCAAATCGTGTTTTGAGCGGCGCGCGAAAGACGATTTCGATGGGGGGTAGCCCCGCCAGCGTGCCCTTCCCCACCCCTTTGGTGAATTCCCCGGGGGAGCCCGGGCAAAGCCTCTCCCTCGAGTGGGTGTTCGGCCTCAACAAGGACTTCAAGGCGAGCGTGTACAACCTCAGCGGGCCGATGGCGGCCTCGCCCGGGGACTCCAACCCGCCTGCCGCCCCGTCGCGCGCGTTTCTGCATCGAAAAGTGTTTTACCCGATCGGGCAGGTCGGGGTGATTTACGACGCTGTGCAGAACACCCAGCGGGTCTTGCAAGGCCACGCGCACAGCATCGTCGCCTCGAGTTGCAGCTACAACCGCCGTTTTATCGTCACCGTCGATGAAGGCAATCGCGGGGGAATCGGCAACGCAGGGCCG